CTAGCCTAAATCTACCATGGAAGAACAGGCTGTGATCCAGGCGGCAGCCCAGCTATGGAGCCCCCTGGCCTGCACCCCACAGGTCCCTCCTGGACAGATGCTCAGGAGATGAGGTTGCTCGGGGGCTGTAAAACCCTCAGTGGTATTTGGCTGGGTGCTTACAGTCACACTGGCAGATTTCGGGTCAGCTGATGGGTTAAGTGGGGAGTGTAGTGGCTGAGTTTTCCAGGACTTGGTACAGAAAGTGCTGAGCTCGGATGTTGTTTGAAGGTGCCGGAGCTCCAGGATCTCAGTCATGCGGTAGCAAGGTGCCTATGCACCATTAAAAATTGGCATGGCCTCCCACTGGTCCCCTTGAAGCCCCCCCTATAGTCCCTGACCTCAGTGCAAACAGGTCTGTGGAGGGCCCGTATTCATTCACCAGAGGGTGTGTGCTTTCCTGGAGCCAGGGTAGCGGTGCCATGTGGAATTTGTCGTGCTGGAGCTAGACAAACTCAGGCTGTGGTTTGTTAGCGGGGAGGGTGTTGGCCATGAGAACAACCGAACGCCATTCCTGGGAGCATTCGGGTCTAGAGGGGAGAAGTGCCGCAGCTCAGTCACGAGCCTGGGGGCACCGTGTCCAGACAGGCTGGCAGGAGGTCAGACCCCGGACCCGACGGCTCACAAGTCTAGGACTGCGCATGAGAGAAAACCAGGCAGCAGACTTTTTGGCCGGAGGCAGATGCTAACTTAACCCTTTTTCTCCCAGAGCATTGGCATCGCTCCCCAGCCTTGACCTGGGAGAAGGATCCAGTTGAACGCACCTGAGGCCGCTCCAGGGACAGCGTCAGCAGCAAGAAACACAATCCGGAGCAGGGAGACAGAGACTGTCTGTGCTGGTGAGTGGGGGACGGACGGTGCAGGGCACAGGCAGCTGTGCAGTGGCAGCCCCAGGCTCTGCTTCCACCTTTGTCACCCACCTGCTGCTTGGCCTGGGGCAGGGATCCCCACCGGGCTGGGACACCCCTCATCTGTTTCCCAGGGGCTCAGCACTTCTTTGCTCAGCTTCTCTAGCATGGGGAAAAGCAGAGGGCAGCGGAGGAAGGGCAGCAATGGGCAGCAAACCTCTGCAAATTCCCTCAAAGCTTTGAGTTTGGGCCACACTTCCCTGGTTTGTGGATCCTGATGGGTTTTGCCTGTCTCTGTGGTCCCTGGGGTTCAAAGGTGGGTGCTGCCCTCAGAGCCAAGGTAGCAAGACCTGTTCCCCTGCCACCGTGTCTCAGTTTCCCCTCTGTATAATGGGACTGAAGGCACAGCCAGGAGATGGCATGGGAAGGGGGAGCCTCACACAAGCAAATACCTAGGTTGGGGGGCTTTGCCAGCTTTGGACCGCCTTGGAGAGGGGAGGAAGCAGAGGAGGTTGCACTTCCCATCCCTATCTCCAGGCTATAATGGGGGGCTTCCCTCTGTCCCAGCCCTGGAGGCCATGGAGATGCCTTCATTCAAGCCACTCTGTGCTGGGATAATCCCACACCCACACTGGGAGCAAAGTGGGATGGAGCGGGGGGGACACTGCATGGCAAATTACAGGGCCGCTCCATGCTGGGCTTGGGCCCCGGCTGCTCTTTTGTAATGACATGCTGCATAATTAGAAGCACGTTCTCCAGCAGAGAGCCCAGCCCGGCCACAGAGCCAAGCCTCACATTAGGGCTTGTTATACACAGCTGCAACCAAGTCGAAAATGACATGTTCCCTGCTGCTTTTTCTGTCCTCCGAGGCCTGGGGGAGGCGGCAGGGGTGGGGAGCATCCCAGCAGACACAGGCCTCCGTGACCAGTCCCTGGCTTTAGTCCCCTGCTCCAATGCTTCTGCCTTTTGTCTTGTGCAAAGTTAGCGACAGGCCCATGGCAGGGACTGAAATTCCAGCTGCTGCAAAGCCCACGCTCAGGTGCCCCTTGCAGGGAGCCATTTCCTTGTCACTGTGTCACTGCAGGGCTGGCTGCATCCCTACCCCTTGCCGCAGGTCCCTGCTCACCCTGTGATACCCTGCCTGCTTAGGAGGGGTGGCATGGCCCACCCCCTGCATTCACATCAGGGGTGCAGCTGCCTTCCCTGCCAGTTTCCAGTGTCTCCCCTGCTCACACCAGGCCACCCGAGGGGAAGGTCATCACCTTGGGGTGAAACCATCAGGAGGTCAAAATCAGGGCCGGACCACCCTGCTAATGCAAGAGGCCATCTCATCCCGGGCCAGCCCCAGCCTGCCAGCCAGGGCAGCAGCTCCTGCCTTTTCTGGCCTGGATTTCCTGCCTCTTGGGGCACGTAGCCAGGGTCCGGGGGTTTATTTGAGGGCTCCTCAGTATTTATAGGGCTGGTGAAAGAAGAGCCTGTTCTGTCCCTGGCACTGGGCTGGGTCCCAGCACCACCGCATATGGGAGGGACAGGGCAAGCGGCCCGCCAACCCCTGTCATTATAGCAGCCCTTTGAAACACAATGCGATGGGGCCAGCTGGGGCATCTGCAGATGTGAGGGGACCCATGTGGCACAGGGGAGCACCCAGCTGCCTCTGCCCTGTGGAGGGGGGTCCTGCCTGCCTGCCAGCGAAGCCCATGAGTGTGAGATCCCTGGGTCCAGGCAGGGTGTACCTCAAGCGCCCTCCGGTTTGCAGACCACTTGTCCTTGCTCTGCACCTTATCCCAGCGTGGTGACAAAAATGCAACAGGGCTGCCATGGGGTCTGGGCTCTGGCCGTTCCTTGCTGAGCCCCAAACACAGCACCTCCCCCAAGGGCACAGTGGGGTGGGGATCAGCCCTGGGGGTATGCAGCCCTAATGCTCTTCCCGCGTACGTATGCGGTCCCCCCACCCCTGGTTCCCTCATACTGCCTTTGCATTTTCTTCCAGACCCACAACGTGTGCCAGGGAGCCCCGCAAAGCCCTCAGCATGACGGACCCTGAGGAGCCCCCCCAGCCCCAGGTCGGGGAGCCCAGCGAAGGCCAGGGGGACGATGCCTTCCCCCTCTCATCCCTGGCCAACCTGTTTGAGAGCGAGGAGGGGGCCTCACCCGCAGAGGCCGCCCGCAGCACCCCGGGGTCGGGTGACAGCAAGCAGAACCTGCGCATGAAGTTCCAGGGGGCTTTCCGCAAGGGCATGCCCAACCCCATGGACCTGCTGGAGTCCACCATCTATGAGTCTGCTGTCGTGCCCGCACCCAAGAAAGCCCCCATGGACTCACTCTTTGACTATGGCACCTACCACCACCACCCCAGCGACAACAAGCGCCGGCGCAAGAAGGTCGTGGAGTGAGTATGCCATGCCCAGCCACGTGCAAGCCTGGTTCCCTGGGGGCAGGGTTGGTGGGGAGGATCATATCCATCCATGTGACCATCTGGGATGTATATGTCTTGATGCATTTCCTTGAGTGGAGGGCAGGCAAAGCCACTGGGACTGCAGGAAGCCATGCGGGTGTGTGGGTGTGTAAGTGTGTGTGTGCATCAGGGAAGGGGGTGAGGGAGCAGGGATGACTGTATTAAGCTCTTCCCGAGCAGCACTGGCGGGGCTGGACTGTTAGTATTTGGCTTGTGCCGGTGAGCTCATGCTGCTGGGGCCAGGCTGTGCCGGGCGGGTCGGCTGCCTGCTCCCTTCCTGCGGCTCCCCTGAAAGAGGGCTCTGTGCTGTGGCGTCTCACCTCCACTGTGGGCAGGGAGGTCTGGCTCCCCTTGGTGGAAGTGGAGCCGGGCTCTCTCTCCAGCATGAATGGGCTTTTCAGGAGCCTGCCCCACCCCTGCCCTCCATGCCTGTGCCAGGAAACACCCCCCGGGGGGGGCAAGAGGCCCAGGCCGTGGGGCACAGTGTGCCCATCTGTGCACAAGGACGTGCCGGAGCTGGGCACTGGCCAGGCTGAGGCCCCTCCCGAGGCACCTCCCAGCGGGCACAGAGAGCAGCCAAAGTGTCTCCCACCCGGGGCACAGTGCTACGCTCCCCACGGCTATGGGAAGGCAGGGACCCAAGTGGCTAGAGCAGTAGGGTGGGAGCTGGGCAGCTGCAGGGCTGTCCACGCGGAGCCCCGCTGCCCGCCTTGCTCTGATTTTCTGCCCTTCCATGTCACTGATCATCCCTCCAGATCATGTAGGGTGCCCGCCTCCCCGCTCTGTCCTGGGAGGGGGCTGCAAGCATTCCCAAGGCAGGAGGCTGCTGACTGGGAGTGAGTGGGAAGGGAGGGCTGTGCCATCATCTGGACCAGGGATCTGGGATCCCAGCAGGCAGCTCCTCTTCCTCCTCCCCTTCCATCATGCCCTGGGGAAGGGATCACAGTGAACAAACATCCTGCTACTTCCCCACGTGGAGTCGAGTGCAATAAAAATTCCTTTGGTGACGCTGGGCTCCACCAGGCTGCCTGCTGCCTCCGGCTAGCATCAGTGCCGGGCACTAACCGGTCTGCACCTGTGCACCTCGCTGACACGGCCACTTCCCCAACCAGTTTGACCGGGACTGCGTCCCTAGCTCTGGCCCCGCAGCCTTCAGACTAGCACCTCAGGGCTTCAGCAGTAAACCTGGCCCAGGCTGAACCCAGCAGGCTGTGTAGGGCTGAGCTGCCTTCTTCCTCCTGGTGTGGCTCATGTCCAGTGCCCTCTGGTGCCGTTAGCCTACAGGGCCCCAGGACTGTGCTTGATTGCCAGCAGCTACCCTACCCACACCCACATGGCTGGATCTCTGGCCAGGGGGCATTCAGGCTGTCCAGTTTGTCCTGTCCATCTGGGTCTGCAGGGTGTGTGTGTGTGTGTTTCGTAGTTTCAGAGTTTCTAGGGTCGGAAGGGACCTGAGCAGA